TTTACATAACGAACCAAGATCTATTGGTATTAATCAACAATCAAAAGAAGTAATATGCGAATTATTCAAAATGAAAATCAAACCAAAACGTATACTAGAAATATTAGAAGAAAAAGCTCTACCTGTTCCCAAAAAACGACAATTATCAAGTTATTTAATATCATTAAGAAAAAAATATTATGGCGCTCCAACTATTAGCTTAGGTGAACTTGAAGCTTGGTGCCAACAAAATTCATTAATACCTGATGATAATGACAAACCTTGGGTATTAAAGTATCAGATTGAATATGAAGATGAAATTGATAATGATGATGATAATGACAATGGTGATCATAATGATGATGATGATAATAAAAATAAATTTCGATTTTTTGTTACTACTAAAAGACTATTATTTAATGCAAGTATTTCGAATAAAATTCATGTTGATACTACTTACAAGTTAATTTGGCAAGGATTTCCTTGTTTTATTATTGGAACCACTGATATGATTAGACAATTTCATCCATTTGGATTTGCTGTGTGTTCTAATGAAAACCAAAATGATTTTGAATTTATATTTAATTGTCTTCGTGGTGGATTACTTAATTTAAACTTACAGATGAATGAACAAGAATTAATACTTATTGCAGATGGTGCTGAAGCCATTAGTAATGCATTTTTAAAAGTATTCGGAACTGATCATAATGTTGTTATGTGTTGGTTTCATATGCGGGAAAATGTTGAAAAAAATTTATATTTAGTCGAAGATAAAGCATTACATGGTGACATTATGAATGATATTGAAACATTACAATTGTCAACAAATAAAAATGTATTTGATATTGCTACTAGATTATTTTTAAAAAAATGGAAGAATTAAGAAAAAAATATTCAATATTTTTCAAATGAATGGTTAAATTCAAAAAATGGATGGTTTGAAGGCTTAGCAACGCATGTTCCAAGCACGAATAATGCATTAGAAGCCACGAATCGTGTAATTAAAGATGAAGATACATTGAGGGAACGATTAGTTTTATCAAGATTTACAGTGGTTTTATTTTCTATCGTCAATAAATGGTCAAAGGAACGAAATCCCACTCTTATCAATTCAAAAAAATTCGAACATCAACCATTAATTACATTACCAATATGGACTGATGCATACAATTGGGTTAAGCTTAACAAAGCTGTTATATCGATTTGTAATGGTGACACAACAATGTATTATTTACCTGCTGGTGAAGAAACTAGGATAACAGATAAAGAAATCAAACGATATGAAAATTGCAGGTTTAATTCATTTGACACGTACAAGTCTGTTTACTTCAATATATGGTGCGTATGTTTATCTAACAATCCTGAAAAATGGAAAGAAGCAACATGTACCTGCCCATCATTTATGAAAAAATTTATTCGCAAGCACACGATTGGTATATCAATTAGATTAAAATATTGCAAACCTCAACCTGAAGCAAAAAATGTGACAATTGGTACGAAAAGAAAAAGAGGTAGACCATCGAAAGCAAAAAAAGCCTTATTGATACAATGACGAATTATATATACTTCATTTTTCTTTTTTGTTTCTTGTAAATTATAAATAAAAATAATTCACTTCTATCTTTTTTTGTTGCTCAAATATGAAATTAATATTGTTATATAATAAATTATTTATTGCTCATTTAATGTCAAAATATTGCTCATTTAATATCATAATATTGCTCATTTTATATTATAATATTGCTCAAATAAACATTTTTTATTGCTCAAAAATTATTGCTAAATCATGTTTTTATTATTNTCCTTACTTAGTTACAAATTCTGAAGTCACTATTCCCTTTTCTCACTTAATTTATTTGGACCTTAAAGAATTCTCATATCCATTAAGATCAACTTTTCCATCCTCGTTTCTGTACGCTTGAAATAATTTATTCTACAATTCATCAGGTTCCGTCAGGATCCACTAGGATCCACGAGGATCCGAGGATCCAGGACCCGCTTTTTCCCCCTTGAAAATGTCAGTATGTCGATAGTTGTTATCACCTTTTCATAACTGATCGGTAACGTTTGACATCTTGGATCGATTTTCTCCGTACTGTACTACAAGCTCCAGTTGAAGTCGCATGTAACTGTGAATCTAATCACAAAAAGAAAAAAGATAATTGAGGACATAATGGAAATAGCAGTGTGATAACACATCGGAAGTAACAGACATAGGTTCTCCACAAGCAATCAGGTCATTACCGTTTTCTAATAGATATGCCTAAATTAGTTACAGGTTGATTCACACTCAAACCACATATATGTGGTTTCCGTCACAAAAGGGTTAAAACACATCTGTTTCGAAATCGTTTGATGTACCGAGAACTCTACTAGAAACTAATGAAAACAATTGTCATTGTATCTGTTCGTGTTCGCAAATTCTTCAAGTTACTGTAATCGGACTTTGTAATTCGATATGGAAAAAGATTTATTTCCTCCGATGAAAATAAATTTAAATAAAGAGTAAAAAGAAAAGAATGATAATGTTATCTACAAATGGTATTTAATTGAAAAAATGAAAATTGGAATAAGAAAAAAAATTCAGGTTCCTAAAATAATGGATTGAAAATCTTCGGACAGTTGCATCATGTTGTTGTAGATGAAAATAATTTTTTCTTCTTATTTGATCGATCTCTATTGGCTGATATTGATTTAGCTAAATTGGCTTCAAGTCTTGAACGCATTAAACGATAAATAAGTGCTGATTTAGTTAAAGGTTCAATGGAATCTTGTTGAGAAGAATAATCATCATATTCCCATGGATGTGATCTATTAACTATTTCTTTAATAATTGAAGGTTTTTCAGGTAATAAACTTTGACCACGTAATGTTGCTGAATATGAACGAGTTTTACTTATTGATTGAAAATTTCCATATAAATTTGATGTTGGACTATCACCACCAGTTGTTCTTATTGATGATGCTTCAGAAGAATTTGCAGATGAACAATTTGATGATTTTTCAATTGGATTATTTCTTTCGTTTTCGTTTTCGTTTTCGTTTTCTTTCTCTCTTTCTTTTTCTTTTTGTTGTTGTTGTTGTTGTTGTCGTTGTTTAAGCCATGTACCTGATATTATAAAAATAAACTTTTAATAAAAGAAAGAAAAACAAAAAAAAAGCGAACCGAGTGTTTTTGTATCAACAACAGTAAGTTGTCTTCCAGTGATAAGCCAATTGTGATCTTTTTGATAAGAAGAAGTTGATGCAACTGCCCCGTGTCCCTATGTTTGAACTGTTTGAATATGTTTTGTAGGAGTTGAAGATTTTGAAACAAGTACAAGAGCTTTAGGTCCTCCAATAGCTAAACGATCTTTTTGTGTTCGATCTAAATTTTTCCATTCTTCAGCAATAACAGTTGCTGGTTTTAATATTTCAAAATTAGTTTTATATCTTTGAATTGTTTGATATCTCATAACCATTGTTTCATTTGATGGAGGATTAACTGTTGGAAATGAATGATTTGTTGTTGTTAACGATGATAATATTGAATCTGATGGACGATTTTGTTTTGGACGTTCGACATTTGTACGATTTATATTCGATATAATATTTTTTTGTGTTAGAGATATTTGTTGTTGTTGTTGTTGTTGTTGTTGTTCATTTGTTTTAGGAAGAGTTTTTGGAGAATTTGGTGGAGAATTATTTATATTTGTTTTAGGAGATGATCCTATTGGAGGAGCAGTTATTGGAGGAAGTTTTCGTGTATTTGGTGAAGATGATGCTGCTCGTCTTTGTTCAATATAAGGTAATGAACCTTTTCTTTCTAATTCATTATAAATACATTTATATCCTTTTATAGATTTTAATGGAAATATTTTTTGATTATGACGAATTTTTTCAAAACATTCAATTGATAATACTATTTTATATGAAAATAATTTAATTATAACTTATATGAAAATAAAACTAAACCTTACAAATAGATTCTTTAACAACAGGTGGAATAGCTTGAACAAGTGTATTTGTATTTGTTGTTAAGGCTGGATTAACATTTATTTCAATTAACCAAACTTTCATATCTTGATCAATCATAAAATCATAACCATATAAACCAAAACATCCAACACGTCTTTTTAATCTCATTCTAATACTTTCAATTACATTTAACATAATACGTTGAATTATTTTCTTTTAAATATATTTATTTATTTATTTATTTATTTATTTATTAATAAATTATTTACTTACAGGTAATGTATTTATAACCCAATCTTGTTCAAGATTTTTACTTGATGCAATATTTTTATTAATATAATCACTATATATATATATAATATTAAATATAAAATAAATAAAAAAAACAGAAAATACTTGAATTGTTCCATAGTCCATGCTGTATCTTCTTTAATATCATAATATTTTGGATCTTTCTTTTGCATATACTTATTTAATTAAATAAGTTGAAAATAAAAAAAAAAAAAAACAAAAATAAAAGTAAAAACCTGATTAGTAAGATGTGTAAGAAGATTTTCATCATTATTATCAAAATCAAACATTGAAAGTCTAATATAACCTGAATGATAAAAAATCAAAAGTGGTTTAACACTTGAAATAAGCATATAACATCTAATATCAAATTTTTTTCCTTGAACTAATAATGGATTCATAATATAACTATTTCAAAATAGATAAATATATTTTCTTTAAATAAAAATAAAAAATCAAACCGTTGAATAACTCTTTTCATTGGTTTAATTGATATTTGTTTTTTCTTATCCATACTATCGATTTCAGCAAATTTACTTTTTAAACTTTCAACATCTCGAACAAGATAAATATCTCTAACACAAAAAAATATTATATCGAATATAAATCGTACAAATGTCGAACGTCCAAAACAAAATCGTCCATCAGATTCAATATTATCATCGTTAACAACAACAAATCATTCATTTCCAACAGTTAATCCTCCATCAAATGAAANTATCTTTTTTTTTTCACAAACTCATCCTTTTAAAAAATTTTTCTTTTAAAAATAAAAAAACCCCAAAAAAAAAAATTTCTTTTTCTTAATAACAAAAAAAAAAAAAAAAAAAAAAAAAAAAAAAAAATTCTTTTAATGAAAATAAAATTTTACCTTGATTAAGTCCACTAGGTTTACAAATCCAAACATCACCAGCTAAAACAAAAAAAAAGAAAACATATTGAAAAGAAAAAACAAAACAAAGAGAAGAATTTGAGTAGACAAACGTTTATGTGTATTAAAAAAAGTATCTCGGTCATTTTTTTCATCTAATTTAAATGTTTCAGGAACAAATTGATTTAATGGTAAAAATTGTGGTGAACGTTTTTGCATAGTCATAGAAATTTTTTCATATGTTTGTAATGATTGCCATAATTGTATTTTTGTTGTAAAATAATCTTCACCTTGTATATGATTAACGATTTGTTCACCATCTTTAAATAAATTCCAATTAACACTTTGATTACATTGTACCCATTTTAATTTAAAATCATCTGTTCTTTCACTTTGACGTTCATATCCAATTGATGTTAATATACTTTCAATTCTATTCAAAGTTATAAAAAACATTTTTTATTTTTATATTTTAATTTAAATAATACAACTTACAATTCAGCATTATTTCCAGCTCCAATATAACATTTTGGTTGAGGCTCTGTATAAAGTGTATTTTCTTTTTGAAGTTCACTTTTTTTTGAATGATTTGATGTTTTTGTCTCAGTCGTCGTCAAAGAAACATTTGGATGATCAGATGTTGATGGTGATTGATATTCTTCAGCCATCAATCTAATACAAATATTCATTAAAATATTTTCAATATAACAAATAAAATCAAGATAATTTCATTTTTTTTTTTTTTTTTTTCTTCTTTTTCTTCTTTTTGTTTCATTAAAACAAATAAAAAGAAACCTTAAATAAATCTTATTTTTCTTGCTATTGACAACCAACTATGTCGTCTTACAAAACAACAAAACCAACTTTTTTTTCTTCTTCTTTTTAAACAAATATTTCTAATTGAGAAAAAACAAAAAAAAAATCCATTAATCTATATGTTCATAATAATAATAATAATAATAATAATAATAAATAAATAAATAAAGGTAAGGTCAAAATACGGTCATCATTATAACTCACAATCAATAAATCATTTTGATTATTACAAATGCGTTGACGTTTCCATAATGAACTATTCAGAATAAAAGAGAAATATACATTTGATTTGTTACTAATGTTGATGTTGTTTCTTGAAAGAAAGTGAGAATGAATAGATGTAAAATATAGGCGATAAAAAAACGTCGGAGAGAAGAGGAAAAAAAGAACTGTTTGTGCTTGTCCTTTTTCTTCTTGGTCGATTTCTTTTGCATCCTATTCAAGAACGAACGTAACAACATGAAGAACATGCTCACCATCAACGTCTATCGACTTTTATTCGACAACAAAAACATCGCTGTCAATAACAACCCAACAATTTTTAGTCTTTCTTTTTTAAGAAAAAAAAAAAAACTCTTTTTTATTAAACCAAAGATGCAATTAAACTGGAGAGAATTTCATTTTTCTTCTTACCACTGATAAAAAACATCAACCTTCAGTGGCGAATCGAAGTTGTTTGTCAAGTGGAGAGGGAGAAGGAGGAGGAGGAGGGGGACGAGAACAGACGATCAAACACAACAAATCATTGTGAATATTAATGGATGTTGTATGAAAAACAAATTTTGGCCGATTTTTCTTGGAAGTATCGAAAAAATGTTTGAAAGTTGAGCTCGATAACTCACTTTCTCGTAGAATTGTCATTGTCAGTCTTTTAAAAAGTGTTTCGGGCTATATTTATTTAAAAAAAACAACTTATTTTTTGAAAGACTTTTGATTAGTTACTATTTCACATGAAGACCTATTTTGTTATTTAATGGAAGATTTACTTTTGATACTGAAATGTTTTTTTCTAAGAAGAAAACTAAAATGATGAAATAATATTAAATTATCTAAATGAATTGTTCGATAAAAGTCAATAATTGAGATCGATTTCTATAATTAAAAAACTTTATTTTATTTTTTATTTTTCTCATTAAATAAATACCGAGTTTGAGTTTTTTTCTTTTCACAAATTTTTTTCTGTAACACATTTGAAAATTAAACAAATATTAAAATGTTTTGTTTAAAAAACTAAAAATTATTTTTAAAATAAAATTTATCAAAGATAAATAGACAGAGAAAGAGAAAGAGAGAGAGAGAAAATGTTCATACATAATATATTGTTCATTTTATTAAACATTTCAACGAGTTTTATTTTATGATTAAGAATATTTTCATTAATAAAAATTCATTTGAAACCAATATTCAAAAACAGATATGATTTTCTATCGAGATTCGTTTATCTTCAAATAGATATTTTTTTTATATATTTTATTCAAAGCTTAGGTTTTATAGAATTTACTTATTAAAAAATTCACCAAGAAATTTTTGTAAAATATATTCTAGTCGAGAAAAAGAATTTTTATTGTATTATTGAGTAACTTCATTTTTTTTTCGAATTGAATAAATATGATGTCGTCTTGATTGAAATTATTTACGTCAATCAATGGATTAGAAATCTTTAAACAGTAATCAATTCCTATCTATTCGTCAAATCGATCAGATAAAACAAGATCAGAATCGATAAATGTTGAACAAACTTTATTGCATGATGAAACTGATCGATCACATTAACTTTTGTGCTGATTATTTATTAAAGTACCTATGGAAATTTTTTTTTCAACGCTCAAAACCGCAGTTTTTTTCATTCGACCGCGGTTTCGATTGGATAACCGCGGTTGATGGCGGTTTTTTTGAACTGCGGTTTTCTGAAACCGTGTTGCTCGTATTCAGGACCACGGTTCTAAATACCGCCGTATTCAACGGTCTAAAAAATTGCGATATAGTTATTGGAAACCGCGGTATTGCATAATCCGATATTCAACGGTTTTTAAAATCGCGGTATAGTCCTTAGTAACCGCGGTGGCAAATATCGCGGTATTAAGTAGTTTCAAAAACCGCGGTATAGACATTAGTAACCGCGGTGGCAAATACCACGATATTAAGCGCTTTCGAAAACTGCGGTATAGAAATCAGTAATTGCGGTGATAAATAGCACGATATTGAGTGGTTTCAAAAATCGTGGTATACAGGGTGTTAAATAACCTTTACGCCCCCCTCTACAACTTAAACTATAAATGATACCCACAAAGTATTTTATACCAAATTAAAGCGCATCGAAAACTGCATCTATCGGTACTAAATAGTGAAGGTTATGAAAATGTTTCAATGTNAATTATACTGTGTTGTATTCTTATAAATATTTTTAATTATTTTTCTCACGTGTCCGAACTTTTCCATGTTTGACATTTGTCGTTCTCGACATTGATAAAATGAGTCAACGACTTCGAGAATTATTATTAAATGAACAAGATTCTTTAACAAAACAATCTGAACGACATGAAATAGTTTATTATTTTTCAAAAGAATTCAGATCGTCTAGAAAAGATTTACAATCATTTTATATAAAATCACAATATCGAAATTCATCTCAAATTTATTCACAATTTTATGAAATTGTTGCGAAAAAATACTATTTCTTTACCTCAAATTCAAATCATATATGAAACAGTTTGAATTGGTATAAAATTCTATCCTTTATTATTCTCTTTTCTCCTTGTAAATTCTTTGTTAAATGAAGCAAGTTTTTCTTTATTTGTATTTAGTTCATTAAATGATCTTAATAGTGGTCTCACATTTTCACCATCAATAGCAAAATCATCGAAATTCATTATTGAAGTCCCGTTACACAGATAAATCTAAAATAACAACTTTAAAAAATGTTGATCAAATATTACCAACATTTTGAATTGTATCATAAAATACTTTAGAAGAAATTACAGATACTAATAATCAATTATTTATTGGTGAAGAAAAACTTGTTGCGACATTTCTTAAACCTTATGAAAATCAAACTATTAATCATATTTTAACAAAATATTCTAATTGTATTGAGACATTCGTTCATTTCAATCCATTAGTAAATCATAACGAAGGTCATCAACATATTTACACTTGTATTAAAAACTATGCATCGAAATAGGCAAAAAATAAAATTTGCCAACATTTGCTTACTAAATTTTATTATTGTTATAATATGACTATTCAACAGTTCGGATCAACTATTATCAAACAAATGATAAATGAAGCAAAGCATTTGACTCAAACAAACTTTTCTTCAAATGACTATTCTCGTATTTATTTTCTCTACGATCCAAAATTTTCATTATATTTACTACATAATGATTGAAAAGAAGTTCCATCAACATTAAAATCTCTTTTTAATAAAGATGATCCATCAAAAGAAATTGTATATAGAAATAAAAATTGGTTTGTCATATGTTTATCATGTTTAAAAAATATTTCTTTTGATATATTCGAAAGAATAATGATTGAAACAAAATTTATCGTAATATAAAATTTTGCTCATACACTATTTCATATTCATGAATGAAGATTAATAAAATTACGTCTAATTATTGAAGGTGAAACAGATGTTGGAAAAACTTTTCTTCTTAAATTTTATTCTATATTACTTAATTCCAAATTTGACAGTAAAATGGTACCGAGAAATCTTTGACAGTACAAGGTTATGGTTGTTAACAAATATTATCGGTGATATTCTAGAAAATGAACCTAATCTGTTAAATTTACTTCTTCAACGAATAGAGCCAAAGCTACATAGTTTTGAGAATGTGAACAACATTGAAGAAGATAATTTAAAACAAGTTAGTTTTGAAAAAAAATGTGAACATACGAATCATTAACTCTTGTTAGAGGTTAAAAAACCTTTACTAAACTTTGGATATAATTATGATATTTTAAAATATATATATATGGAAAACATTAATAACCCATGTCGTCTTTTTTTTGTGAAAACCGACGGTAACCGGCGGTTTTGAAAAAAACCACCGGTTACCGCCGGTTTTACTTAAAACTGCCAGTTAACTGCGGTTAACCAACGGTTGAAATTCAAACCGATGATTAACTGCGGTTAACAAGCGGTTTTATTCGGTCAGTTCTGATAACTATAGGTTTTGAATAAAATTAATTCGAAACATATTCATGATATTGAAAGCGTATCATTTGAGGCGAAAAGACTTCATTTGGATTATTCTTTTTATATTTACATCATTTTTAAAGTGGAAAATATATTTAAATATTGACTTCATAACATAGGAATAAAAACAATTTTGTTCATCGATTGACTGAGTTATATGTCTTAGACACCATTCTAACAAATGTCGATTTTTATTTCTTGACTTTTCTTCTTCATCTTTCTCGAGTGTGTAGTGCGTCCGAACGTCTTTCTTTTTTCTTTTCGTCTAAAGTAAAAAAATGTACTTATTATGCGTGCGCGGACGATGTAACGATGTGCCTATACATTTCATTTTGTTTATTCGCGTACATATATATATATGTGTGTATATCAGTAGATTGTCATTTTACTTTATTGTCTTTCGATATTCTTTTTTCATATATGCATAAGAAACAATTCTATTCTCGACGTGTAATTAATCGACGTCAGAGACATCTAAAAAAATTAGAGAAACAAGAAAATTATTTGAATTTTTCAAGTGAAAGTGATAATGAAGATTGTAATGTTAATCAACATATAAATAATATAAATTCCATGTCTTCGAATGTTCTTTCAGCACTTGATGGTGATTTACATACATATGAAAATTATCAGGAAGATGAACATGATAACACCAACAAATTAAATGATTTTCAAGATACTATTTTTGATCATTCACCACCATTATATAATGGCTGTCGATTTTCCACAATTAAATCAGTTAAAATGTTAATAAATTTTTTTTGTCGAATTAATTTAGATAAACAAAATACTATTTATTTAATGAAATTGATAAAACTTATATTACCAATGAAGAATGCATTACCTACATCATGGAAATGCATAATGAAATTATTTGGAAAAGTCAATTTTTCATCGACAACGTTTTTATGTTCAAAATGCTTTAATCAATGTAAAAAAACAAGATTCAACACCAAAACTTGTATGAATGATAATTGTTATTTGTCAAAAAGAATGTTAAAAACAAACGAGATCGTGGAAGTAGTAAATCTTGATATTCGTACTCAGATGAAATCTATTATTGCTCGAAATATAAATTTATTAACCCAAAGCTATGATTTATTTCCATTGTCTGATGTAACCTCAGCTTCTCTTTATAGAACAACAATATCAAATACAAAATGTAGCACCATTACAATTATTATTCACACAGACGGTGCTCCTTTGGTACATTCAAGTAAACAATCGATATGGCCCTGCTTTGCTTCTATTGTGGAGTTACCTCCTCCAATAAGGGAGCACCAAACTAATATAATGCTTTTAGCTTTATGGTCGGCTAAAGTAAAACCAAATGTCAATGTATTTCTCGAAAGAACTATGTAAGTTATTTAGACAGTTGGCTTGTTTCTTATTAATAAACGAAGTCGAGCTCAATTGTTACAAGTGCAATTGCTTACTGTTTTCTATTTATTTTAGAAGTGATATTGTACAACTTATGACCCATGGTACGTCATTTTATATCAATAACATTGAATATAATATTGTCGTACGTACCCAGTTCTTTGTGTCCGATCTACCTGCAAAGGCACTATTTTTAAGAACTACGAATTACAACGGTTATTATGCATGTAATTATTGCTTAACGAAAGGTACATGCCATCTAAGTCAATGACTGAATGTGGAGTCATTGAAATTCTAATATTTTAAAACCTTGAATAGTGTCTATTTGTTTTTCTTATTAATACTGACTCTTATGAGATTTAGAGTATAGTGATGTAGACATTATTTTTTAAGAGCGACTATAAGATGATCAAATGAATGGAAACTTTAAAGGTTTTACACTAACCAATATAATTGAATAGATAAATGCTACGAAATATATTAGAATTTTTTCAAAATTCAAAATTTTCTTTTTATTTCAATCTTTCTATGATTACTCTCTCTATCATCAGGTAACAATCACAACAAAAAGAAAAATTATTCATATATACAGATATAAAACAAAAAGAACACAGATTTAATTATCTTACAAGGTAAGTGTAATTGAATAAACAATTATGTATTCGCGAATATGTAATTCTTTATTGAATTAGACTTATCGTGTAACATAATTAAATGTGTTTGTTCTTTTTTATTTTATATCTATGTATATGTATAATTTCTCTTTTTGCTGTGCTTATTTCCTTATGATGGTTTATGACTAACCAATATTTTTATTTTCTTTCTAGGATTTTGGAGTGGTTCGTCTGTGCTATACCCATATGATAAAAATAATTTAGAATTACGTACACATTCAGGGTTTATTGCAGCGGCTAAATCAGCCGAGGAAAAATCAACAGAAAAACGAGTAGCAAATGTAGAAGGTGTAAAGGGTTTATCATGTTTATTAAAAATTATTTCGTATCCACAACAAGTTGTGTTAGATTATATGCACCTCGTGTGTTTAGGTCATGTAAAAACTTTAATCAAAAGGTGGTGCCAATTAATTAGCAAAGCTGATATAACGAGAATGGATAGTATGTTATCCATGGCACGCTTTCCACATAACATACATGTTACGTACAATGAATCAATTTTAGCTATTGACTCATGGAAAGCTAAACACTGCAGATTGCTGGTACTAAATCTTGGTATACCTATTGGTGCGTTATCAATTTCATGCTTTTTTCTTTCATATTTGAATTTGTAATATAAATTAAGAATTATTATTTCGTCGTTTTTTCTTTTCTTTAAGGTATTCTTTGTCTACCTACATTAAATGCATCACATTGGACAATTTACTGTTTGTTTGTTAAATTATTGCATGCACCACAATCACCTGAAGATATAGATTTTGCTGAAAAATTAATTAATTATTATTGTCGTACAATTGCTGATGTTTATGATGAATCATTAGAATTATTTTCATTACATGCACATCTCCATTTACCCGGTCAAGTGCGACTACATGGTGGTTTATCAACATCATCAGTAAGATATTCATTTGTTAAATAGAATACTAGCTCATTAATTGTAGTTTTTCTTTATCGTAGGCATTTACATTTGAGTCCTGTATTCGATATTTAAAAAGTAAGGTGCATGGTACAAAACATTTGGCTTCACAAATAGCTTATTGGTATGATATTGAAACCATCGTCAAAACTACAGTATTTGAAGTAAAGGTACCATGTGGTGTTAATGAAATTAATTTTTTTAATGAAAAAATGAATCATTATCGTAATATAATAGGTGCTCTTCTTCATACTCATCAACAAGATTTAAACCAAATTGTATTTTACACACGTTATAAGAAATGCTTTTTAACTTTCCATACAGTGCTTTATGATAAGCCATATAAATGTCGTAGTTACATCGTATCATATATTAATGATAGTGATGATTATGACGCGCTCAATTATGCAAATATAATTGTATTTTATAAATATAACAATGATTATTTTGCACTTATACAAAAATATCATTTTTCAAGAAAAAAAATCTCGCATTACGTAGAGTTACCTGTAGAAGTATGTAACAAATTGGATGAAATGTTTCCATTACTCGAACTGTCGAACGATTATGAAATTATTCCTGTAGCAATGGTTCGCCATCACTGTATAATGGTAGAATTTCAAGATGTTTGTTGTTTATCAGAATTAAGAATTGATTCTGAACATGATTAAATAAAATATTAAATAAATGATTTAACTTAATACTTTGTTGATGTTTTAATAGAGTATGTTTGTTGTTATTATAGATTTGATTTTTATTTTCAGTTACTTTACGCTGGTTTTCTTCGAATGACATCAACAAACATATACGAAAGACATTATCTTACAAAGTCTCGTACAAAAAGCGATGATAATGTATATGTGTTGATATTGTTTAAATGTGACAATACGTTTATTATTAAAAAAAAATCAAATCTTCATGGTATTGCAGAAAATGGCCTAGTGACAATGAAAGACCGAAATAAAAATTACGTTGGTTATTGTTTATTTGAAGGTGAGCGTTTAGTAAATAACTATCATAATACCGCCCATGAAGATTTCTATTCGAAACTCGTACATATTATAGGATCATTGACAGAAGTAGAAGCTGCGGCTGAGCGTTTAGATAAAGAAATGAATACTGATTTAGAATCAGATTGTGAAAATATCATGAATAATCATAAATTAAACAAACAACAAGGATTAGGTCAGTCTTCAATTTTAAAAACGCCAAACAATTCAAGTATTGAAATTGATTGTTCAGCAACAATGAAAAATAATAAGATTCAGAAAAAAATAGACAATGGTAATGGTTCTAAAAGCAAGCATTTAAAATAATTAATGTTGATTTTCATTTACTTTTAGATTCAATAGATTCAACAATACGATCTTTAGCTACGACGTCTTTCGATAGTAAGGTATTTATTGTATTCCATACATGAAAACTATTTGACTTTCGTTGCAGATACATCAAAAACTTATGAAACGCCACCAATTTCAGATAAAACTGTTCAGAAAAAGCATGTACAGGAAGCATCACGTAAACAAGGTAAGGATTATATAGCATAATAATTTTACTGGTATTGTTTCTTTAGGTGTTGTTCCTGCTTATCAAGTCCTACGCGATATTCAATATATAACCAGAGATACAGAAAATGGACAAAGTGAAGAAACATTATCATCATATGAAGATGATGATGATTTTGAAACCGATGATGACGACGACTCAACAGAAAGAATAATTGGTATAACAAACTCATTAACAACCGCAGCACGATTAAAATCAACATCAGTTAATAAAGTTAAATCACAGCAATCCAAACAATCCTCATCATATGCTTTTAAAACAACATCTCATGAAACAACTTCGAAACGGTTGTGCAATAAACAACTTTTTCCTTCAAACAGTGATGGTTATCAAGAAATAATGGTATTATTAAAATCATCGATTTTAACAAACAAGGATTTAGCAAGAGATATGAAACTATCATTACTTGATATAAAACAGTTATTTGTGTTGATCGAGAAGTTGGATGCGAAGCTCAATTTAATATTTGACAACCAAAAAAAAATACAGCGAGCATTAGCAAAAAGAAAAGTGAGTCAAATTTTTTTAAAGAAGTTTTCAGGAAAAATAAGAGTATTATATCATCCTTTAGATCAATGTAGCGCTATTTGGTGGTGATTTCGATGCAGAAAATCAATCACAGAGTGATGTACCATTTGAACGTTCACTGGTAAGTTTTTCATATTGGTCTGCTTCCTTTTATCTTTCTTTATTTTTAGAATTACCAGAAGCAAGATGGCACAACTATCGATTTATTACAATTATACGGCGTTCGAACGCAGATAGGACGTTTCGTCGCCCTGGTGATGGATCATGTTTTTACAAAACATGAACTATGCACCATCACAACAAACCAATTGATAAAAGATGAACGTTATAACACTATTAAGGGTAGGAGAATAATAAAATTGATAAGTTTGGTTATTTTAATATTTTTTTTTTATAGAAGCTGTTAGATCAAGGTTCAAATTAAATGCTGAAGAAATGAATGCCGAATGGCCAACGATTCATGAAAGTATACTTCAAAAACGACGCAACGAAAGTAAAAAGAGAAACGGTAATACGAGTACCGTCAACTAAAACCAATTACTACCACAATAAACAAATAATCATGATATTGTTGATAATGATACACAAGCTAATTTAAAAAATTGTTTTTCTGCCCTAGTTTTTTGTATATTAATATCTTTGTGTTCTGTGTGAATTTTTTTTCGTGTATTTTTTGTGTATATTGTATCATATTTGTGATAACTTATAAATAGAAAGAAAAATAAATACATGGTACATGAAAAACAATATTTATTAATAGATGAGTTTGGCCTAATCTTTTTCGATACGGTTAGGAAAAGGAACCATCGGTTAACCCTGATTTACCGTCGGTTGACTGTGGTTAACCACGGTTAACCGTAAATTTCCTGGTTAACCGCTGTTTACCGAATGGTTAACCTCCAGGTTGACCGAACGGTTAACCGTGGTTAACTGACGGTTTTTTACCGGTCCGAGCGACATGGGAACTACTGTCTCACATGAAAATGCCGATAATGTTGTTAAAAAACTTCTTGTTGCATTTCATGAGTTTGTAACATCCCAGCTAATAGATTTTCCATTAATTCAAGCTAGTTCTCAATTACAAAAGCTATTAGAAAAAGTACAGTTACCAACAGTTAAGGCATTTATTGAAATTTTCAACGAATTCCCAGTTCGTACTTGTACGACACTATTTTTGTTTATCGTCTTCTCTTACATCCTAGTGTAACTGAAGAACAAATCAAAGATTTCATATATCCTATTTCTCAATTTTACTGAACAGATGCCTAATATTGAATTAGTCGTCTTTTTTGATGAAGTTAAGGCATCTTGTCTTAGTTTATTTAAAGGAATATTTATGGATGAAATATTACATGGAATCAGTTTATCAAAAAATATCTTTATTACTGTAGCCATTAATCCATCAAGAAATCTTGATGATGATTCTCATGATGGTTTTCAAGTTCATCAATGTGATTATATTGTCCATGAATTACCACAATCATTAGATAATCTCAAAGTTTCATATGGAATATTAGATTCATAAACATTAGAAGATTATATCAAACAAAAACTATCAACATTTACTATTACTTCGGCTAGTGCTTCTCCAAAGAAATTGTCATTAGAGTAATATGCACAAGACATGTTTACTCAATCTATTCTTGATGCACAAAGTTTTTGTGAAAAATATCTCTGTTTCTTTTTTGATAATTAAAACTACTCGAAAATAATCTTAACAAAATTCATTTGAGATAGAATTTGTAATCTTCATATAAAATGAAAATTAAATTGTTTCGAAAAACAAATCAATCAGCCTGTACTTGAGAAATAGAAACCTATGGTCGATCATAATTGTGACTAGGAAAATAATTGGCTTTCCAGAAGCAAAATTCTATTAAATAACTGATTATGATATTGGATGGGTGTGGGTGTCATTGACACAAGAAGTACATTCACACCCCACACCCTTCTGCTTCGGTTCTCGGTTCCATTTTTTGGAACCAACGAGCTCTAATGAAGAGTCTGAGGATGAGAATGAGAGCGGAAGCACGCACCAGTTTTACACTAATGATTTCAGTAGTCTACTTTGCAATATTAGACAAGTGTTCGAATGAAAATTATAAATGTTGACTTTGACTTAAATGTAAAGAATTTAGGGGATATCTTACGATATTATACCTTTGGTTCTATAACGAAAAAGCTGTTAACACAATTTCTGCGGGTTTCAAATGCGAAAGCTGATTGAACTATTGTTGCTAATAAAAGAAAATGCTGAACAAATATCCTCCAGTCAATACTGTATGTACCCAATATACAGGTCTCAATGGGTGTTGTTGTGGATGTGAATGGTGTGCAGGTGTGTAGGATGTGAGGGTGTATGGGTCTACTTATATGCCTTCTCTTCATCCACACCCACACTCACAACCTAAGAATCTTTAATAATGTACATCGCTCACTCCTCACCCTAACCATCTGTGAGATATGTTGGTGTGAACTTCACTGCTTTGTTTTCACCCACATCCACATCCTCTAGCATAACCAAGGGAATTTATTTACGTTTTTTTTTCTGAAGAGATCAACATTTTTGGAAATTATAAAAATACGTCGGCAATCAAGGTTAAACCAAAGGAAATCATTAGAATGCCTTTCTCTGTTTTAATGCTTTTGTTGTGTCTGAGAAGAACAGCACAAGGACGTGTAATACATAAAAATTAATTTTTCGTGTCAGATATGTTCGTATAACCGCAAATAATGCGATTAATAGAGTATGAGTGTTTGTTAGCAGATGTGATGGGACCAGGTCTTCTTGTCATTCACACTTTACCCTTGTGTCTTTCCGTAAACACAAGTATTTCATCCGCGAACAAAAAATTGCTCATAACCTTGATTACACGATTCCGTTTGGTTTCTCATCAAAGCATAACCACTGCGAATAAGAGGATCAACAAAAATGTACATTAATGCCAAAGATGTGATGAAAATAAAAGCATCTATAAGCGCAGTTTGATTAGTTTTGTAATAATGTCTCTTTTTTTTTGTTTATGTTTGCGTGGTGTATTTGAATATGACGGTAGAAATTATAAATACACCACTGCTGAGAAATACTAAGAATGCTTTTCATCCAGAACTTACTGTTATTCTTTATCTTTATTCTTTTGTCAAGTTGACGAATCTCAATCAATAAAAATGCATAATAATCAATACAACATTCTTTATTAATTCATGGTCGTGTTGTCTCCCCATTTTTATTGAATAACGATTGCCTTTTGCTGATAAAATCTATATGGTAAGCGTGATTACGATCATTTTTAAGAAAGATTTAATATCGAATTAATGTTTTGAGAATCAGCTCTTCGCAATAGTCACTTTTATGGAGATGATAGCAGCAATTTTTTATTTTTCTCATATTGAATATACAGGGTTTTTGGAATAGTATTTAGTTTTGAAAATACTTACCTTGAAGAATTGAAAAAAAAAGAAGATGCAGAATAGATGCCAATACTGATTAACTTTGACCGTACACATCCGTATACCGCTCAACTACGATGACGAAGGACGAACATTTTTTGAATCCGTGTACTGGTCTAATAAATGAACGTTTATGTGGTATAACACCCGTCGTAATCAATAGCCTAGTAAAGATCGCGTTAAAGCTTCTGTTACTAGGCCATGGGCAGTAGCTCATGATACTGGGCAGTTTTTACTGGATAGAACAGAATTCCTTTGCTTATAATTCGATCAAGTTGTCGTTAGAGAAATCTTCAGAATAAACCTCGTTTTGTTATTGGTGGTCAGTAGCTCAGTCGGATTTTCTAGATGATTTTGATATATTACCAAAAGGTAATCTAAAAGCAAGATCTTTAGTCAATATTTTATTGTAATGATTTCTCCGTGGTTTCTGCTGATGTTTTCATGTAGAATAAATTAGATAGTAGCTTTTCTATGCGCTCTATGGAACAAATAGATAGGGATGTGAATGTGGACGTGGATGTGGATAAAAAGGAGACCGGCCCTACATTCGCCCATATCCATGCCCTTGCATAATTAATATCAGATTTTGATATTGACCTTCAATTAAATTTTGGATCGGAGAAAATTCTTCGAAATCGTTTTCATTTTCTGTGCTGTGGCACAAGTACTTGAAACTGTATTTCACTGGCTTACATTCATTTATTACGTCGTAAGCGTCCATATACGGTTGCCTTCAGTCAGCGTAATATTCTGTTTAAGATGCTAAGATATGAGAGAAAGATATTGCGAAAGTTTTGTTGAGAATTGAGTAATTTTATACCCGCAGTACTTGTTTTCTTCGTTGCGACTACAGTGATGACGATGAGCTAGTTGACTTACCATTCTAGATGCACAGAATAAGATAGCCTTTACATTTCAATAGACAAATGCATTCATTCTGATAAGTCTCTAAAGCAAAGCCGGTACCAGAGTTCATCGGTGATCAATGACTAATTTCGATTAATAAGTCACAGTAAAGTGTAAACAGTGCCATTGACTAGTCACAATGAACAATTGGAATTATTTTCTGATAAAAGTCCTAAGAGAACAAGACGTCAACATTAAATTTCAGGTACGAATATCCTCATTATAACTAGCATTGCTATCAATATATAGCATCGATCTATAGACTAGTAGTTATATGATCACTTCTACGTCAAACACACTAAATACTAGAAGAATCCGTGTATGAGTATCCATGTTTTGCTAATTCACGCCAATAACATCAAACTTGACGCTGCTCAGAGTAGCAAACTTTAAAAATCGATCAATATCCGTCAAATTTCTTATCAAGGTTCAACGAATGTTACTAGACACAGAGTTTCGCCACTATTTCTTCATAAGTTCCACTTAGAGTTTTGGAGCTCTGCATGCATAGAAAGGCGAGAGATAGCTAAGTTTCGGTTATCTGTTATGCACCAGTGTTGCGATCAGTAAATCGGCATGAGTCATCACTTCAGTTGAAACACTACGCTAATTACGTAAGGCACATGTTTCATCATTAACAAGCATTATTGAAGCATGATTATCAATGAACATTAAATAATGTGAGCACAAACTTGCTCCTATTGTCGTAGCTGCCTCCAAAAATTGTGGGAAACTTACCTTTTGACGCTCTTTTAGTCTGCCGACACTGATTGTTATGCCCAAAACGACTTAGCAGCTTTTCTGACGTGCTAAATTTCGTTCTAGGTATGATCTAGATAATAAACTTTGCTATAAGGGAGCAGCAAAGACTCTATACTTCAGCGAACTTAGAAGTTTCATAAAATCTATTCTATTTCAATTCTTAGCCATACAGAGTGTGAATGTTGATGTGGATATTTCTTTCATCCACATCCGCACCTAAATAGATCTTATTATTGCACATACGATCGTTTGAATGAGTATTCATACTTGATTTCTTATAGATAATTAATAATCGTCATGGGTTCATCTTTTTTATCGATGTTGGCCTTGCCATTGTAGCTGTTGTAATATGTCGTGCGGTTGGTGTTATTGGTGTTGGTCTTGTGGTTGCTATTGTTGTACAACGACAGTCGATCGTCCGATTCAAGGTTCACGTGGAGGACTGAATTCAGTCTCTAAACAATAATTGCCATACTCTAGTCATTAATTTATTTAATGACTGATGTAAAAATCTTCGGGGAAATTTTGCTTCATGTTTCATGGGTTAAAATAAGTTGTGATGATCATAAATACGCATTTGAAAACTATACTGAAAGTACTTTGCACGTACATATACAGAATAGGTCTATCATGTCTTGTCACAAGACTACTAGCACATCATGAAATAACACTAAAACGTAATCCGTAAAAAGACATATGCAATGGATACAATAGACAAAATCGATCTTGAAGTGATCTCGTATTGTTTGTTAACTTATTCAAAAACGACTAACGAGGGAAGGTCCCCAAGTGTGAGTCTCCGCTTCGAATCGGGTATTTGTTATTTTGTAGAGCTCAATGAGTACAGTACTCGCGTATAAAGGATTTCTGCCCATGGTGAACTTTTCAGGAACAAAAAGGTTCCATACCTTCTGAAAAATCAGCATAAGACTCTTAACTGAAGGCTTGAATTTTAATATTGTAAGGACAAAACATAGTGTTGTTCAGGCCAATCGGTGATTATCAATGATGCTCTTTCATATGGTCCGAATAACACCATGTTTTGTTCTTATAATAGTAAAGTGAATTTTTTTGGTGTTTGGTAGAAAACATTGTTTTCTATGAGCTATAGAAAAATTAACTCTACTATTATAAGGACGGAACAAATTTTTAT